AGAAAAGACTTTAACTCAAGCTTGTATTATAGAGCGAATCACCCAGCGTTCTTCATTACTGTAGGATTACAGTAACTTTGAAAAGGATTTTAGCCATTAGCGGCTACATATTATCCAAGAGTAGACCCTCAGCGAACCGAAAGCTTTATCATTAGGCTATACTGAGTCACCGATTATTGATATGAAATTCGCACTCTAGATCAGGACTTTTTTCATTGGCTATATCAAGTAAACCGCAACGACACTGATTTTCAAAAATGTGATTGGACCACTTAAAACCGTTAAAAATTCATTAATAGCTGTCTGATAATGTCAGAATGTTTGAAAACACTGTTACACGACTTTTTAGATTTTTTTGGAATCATTTGTCCAAACGGCTTGTTCCGCAGTGACGCTGTATGCTGGAAGTTCTTACCGTAATCCTACAGCAATGAAGGGCAATGGTTTTTGCTCCATAACCGAATGGTACTAAAAGCTGAGGAAAAGACTAAGTAGGAAGAAAGCTATCAGCGATCAAAAAGTCTGTACTTACCTTTGGGACACCCTGTATATCCATCTTCATATAGACATTACATTCTATGCAGTGGAAGATGCGACTCGCCGAGATCGGTCAAACGGTACTTTCAGAAACTTTTGGATTTGGTTTCATGAACGGGCTGAAAGAAGGACAAAACTTAGGCCGCCCCAACTCAGGCAATTGCCGTTTTTTACCACTATTTACGGGAATTATTCTGTATCATATGCCACAAATTTTCCAAATTTTGACAAAGATTATTCGGAATTTTTTATTGATATGAGCTTGGACGGGTGGTCTGTAATTGTGCTCAGCACGGTAAACAAAACTATTGAACAACTTTTACTTCCTGCCGATTTTTAGCTTCCTTCAGGTTCACTTGTATTCGATCCACTATGCATTCTGTTCATTTCGAAATTTTTGAATCATAGGTGAAACTACATATGTTCAAATTCCATATAACCTGCAGTTTACCTCCTTATTGCATCGAAGAGCTTGACCAAATTTCCATTTACCTTCGGTCACCATGTTGTCCGAAATTTCAAAATTGACAACACGAAAAGACTTTCTTATTTATTTTTCAGTAATAAAACGTATTCACTAAGAATACTGCAGACAAATTACGCTATTTACAACCGCGAGTGAACATGTAATCATACCATGAACTGGTAAAAAATGGATAACCTAGGTACACTAGACATCTTCTGGTCGTTGCTGGAAATCTTGCTCAAGTCCCTGTTGATCATCTTTGTTGGAAAGATTTGAATATGATAGAGGTGGATGTTGAATACGCTTTACGAATACTTCGTATTTTTTATTCACTATGCAGTAGTAGACTCCAATCGTGCAGAATACTAAGATTAAGAGCATCATGAATACCTAAAATTAGAATGTAGAAGAAAAAATTTCATAAACATTTGATATTATGTAGATTTGCTCATGACTACTCCTAAGTATGCCAAAAGATCGAATTTTTTCTTAAGAAAAGCAATCCTTTGTTAAATGAAGGATTGCCCAATGCAAACAAAGCTGGCGGCCGCAGTTGGTCGCTTCTCTATGATCAAGCCGCCTTGCGACCGCTGTCGCTTTTAATCACTATTGTTCTATTCGGACAACCGCCTTAGACCTGCTATGTACTATAAATCTGCAACTTACCCCTGCCATTCGACTACTCTTCTCAGCACGTGCTTTTACTGGACATGCATCTGCTTGCGCGACCTTTGTAAACGGTCGTCCCTTCAGATTCGGGGGAGCAGCACATCTCAAACAAGTACTAGTGAAAAGTTGAAAAAATCAAGTTGAAGAATGAAAAAAAAGTATTAACTAGTTGTTTACTCACTTGGGTATCGTGTTAGTATAATCGTAGGAAAAATATTCGTCTTCGAGGAGGAACGCCGTCTCACATGTGCAATTCATTGGATTTCCACCGATGCCGAGCTCTTCCAACTAGAGTACTGGTGATGAAAAGTGCACAGCTATCAGTTGTAGCGGTGGAATTCGGTCAAAATCGCGGGATATGCGGGATCTGCGGGATTGCGGAATTTAGTTATAACTTTTTCTAAAACA